ATTGTTATTATTATTATTATTATCATTATCATTATTATTTTTTATTATTATTATATCATCGTAATTGTTTGTTGTTATTATTAGTGAATGATGATGTTCATGAGGATGTTTATGTTCATGATTTTACGTTTACCGTATTATTGGCGTTTTTGTTGTTACAATTGTTGATTTTCTTTTGTTAAGTTCGTATTATTATGACGTACTTATTTTGATTTCTATCATTGCAATTGGTATGGTAATTATTAATAGTATAATTACTATCATCATTTTTTTTATCATTATTGTTTTGGCTTGCTTGATAATTGATATTATAATGTTTTGTTGTTACGATTACACATAGACGTGTATTTTCCCGTCTTTTAGATATTGTATTATTATTATTGTAACAACACGAAGGCAGAGAATAGAAAGTTGGGGGAAGAGAAATGAGAAGAAAAAGGACACGGAAAAGGAAGAACTGGAAATCAGGATAAATGCCTCTCTTGGACACTTGCCAACGAGCTTGTCCCTCCCCGGTCCCCCCGTCGTGGGACTCCCAACCGAACCCCCAATTCCTCTCTCCCTTTCCCCTCCTCACCTCTCCACCCTCTTTCCTCCTAGACTTCTCCTCTCCCCTCCCGCCACTCTTTTCCTTCTTTATCCTCCTCTCTTCTCCCCACCGGTCTCCCCCTCCCTCTCCTCTTCCCCCTCCCCCCTCCCTCTTCCCCCTCCCCCCTCTCCCCCCTCCCTCCTCTTCCCCCCTCCCTCCTCTTTCCTCTTCCCTCTCCCTTCCCCCCTCCTCCTTTCCCTCCTCTCCCCCTCTTCCCCCTCTTCCCCCTCACTTCTCCTTCCCTCAGATCACGTGACTCACGAGGTGGCAGGGACCGCGCGGCACCTGTAGCCTCTCGCTCGCAGGCCGGAAGTAAAAGCTGGGGTGGGAGGGGGGCTGGGAGTTGCGGGTGAGGGGATATATGGTGATTTTGTTTTATACTGATTATCGGTGGTGGGATTATTATTATTATTGATATTATTATCATTATTGTTGTCATTGTTATTATTGTCATTGTTATTATTATTATATTATTATGATTATGAATGTTGATAGGAGGATTAGTAGTTATTAATGTTATGATTATTAACAACATTATTTTTATTATTGTTATTAGCAATATTATTTTTGTTATGTATTTCTGTCATTGTTTTTTATTATGTTTATTATTAATAATATTATTAGTTTTTATTAATATTGGTTACTACCATAATTGTTATCATTATCATCATCATCAATTATCAGTTATCATGGATTCCATTGTTGTTTTTGTTATTGTTATGGTTATAGTTATGGTCATGGTTACTACTACTACTACTACTACCATTAAACTACTACAAACTACTAGCTACAAGTATTATTAGTTATGTCATTTGTTTTGTTCTTATATGATTTTGATTGGTAAAATGAAGATGGCAAAATATTGAATATAATCAAGTAGTAGTTTTTAGCATTTGTAATTGCCATAGTTGTTTGTCTATTATTCATATATTTGCTATAATAGTTATTGTTATTAATGCTAATGTTTATTTATGTTTGTTATTTCACATTTTGTTTATTACTACTGCAATTACTAAAATTGATGATAACTGCTGCTGTTGTTGCTTTGATAACCATTCCTGTTGTTAATATCATTATCATTATAAATACATGGATCTATCTCATATCTTTTTCATTATTATTGTTATCAATTTCTGTTCTTTGCTTCTGTCATTGTATTATTGCATTAGTTATTTTTGGGGTATGCTTAGCTTAGTATTTGTAAAATATCAGCATTATTGTTGTTGTCCTTGTTCTTGTTATTATCATTTTCTTGCTTTGCTGTATTTTCAATTTTAGTGAAATGTTATGTACAGTTTATACATATGCTTACAAATTCGGGCCCTGGTCACCCCCCCCCCCCCCCTATAGACCCCTTATATAAACCTCTAAACAACAGCAAGAGGTAATCCAGGGTGCTATGGAAAGCTATCACAGAGTAAATGAGAATGGTTATGGTTTGAGTACTCATATACCCCTTATAGACCCATTTGAGTACTCATATACCCCTTATAGACCCCTTAAACACCCCTAAACAATGGAATGGGTTAGGGAGATGATCTAGGGTCCTATGGAAGGCTATGATAGAGTAGAGGAGAATGGGCACGGTTTGAGTACTCGTATACCCCATGTAGACCCCTTATAGACCCCTTGAATACATCCCTAAACAACAGCAAGGGTTACAGAGGTGATCCAGGGTGTTATGGAAAGCTATCATAGAGTAAATGAGAATATGGTTTGAGTACTCGTATACCCCTTATAGATCCCTTAAACACCCCTAAACAATGGAATGGGCTAGGGAGATAATCGAGGGTGCTATGGATAGCTATGATAGGTTAGAGGTGATTGGACACGGTTTGAGACCTTGCATTCCCTTTAAATATAGCGGGTGTAGGTACATGTGTCACCTTTCCGATGGCGCCTTTAAATTGCATTTTGAGCATGATAATCATTAAATAACCTGTTGATGTGCCATGTAGGCCTAGCTCATTGCTACTGAAAATAAGAATTGTTATTATTTTTATTGCATTTTATTTAATAAAGTTTTTCAAAATAAGGACAGTGTCCTTTTTGTGAAGATAGGAGATATTATCATTAGCTTATAGTATTAGTAGTTAATACTGTATATCATAGAACTTTGGCAGAATTAACATATTTAAGTGATTTGTTTATCATATTTTTATATTTATTGCATTAACGTATTCAGTTAATGCTTTGTTTGTGTTTGTTGCCTTTTTTCTATGAAGTTTTAAGATAATTGTTCATCGACTGATTGCTTGATGGGGGCATGTACGGCCATGCCATGGGATAAATAGACTGGTAGCATAAATCTCTGTACCTCAGGTAGTTGAGCCTACTTTCATATGTGTGTGCTATGCAGTGTTTACCTGTTTAGTATGACTGCTGTTATTGAAGAGTTACAGCCCCTCTAAAGCAGATTTATTAATTTATTTTACCTTGTTTTCTGAAAAATCTTCAGTGTTGCAGCCAAAATTGCAGAGAGTAGGGAAAGTCTAAATTTATTTTGCTTCTAATTTTTCCACTGAGTGATTAATTGTACTTAGTGCCTAGTGCCCAAAAGACCCATCTGTATTGCTTTAATGACATGAATATTGTTTTTGGTATTTTATATTAAGCCCAAAAAGGTGATCATTATTCCAGAACATCTGTTGTAGGAAATTACATATGACTTTCTGGAACAGGGTCCTATTTGATGGACCAAATGGGAGTTACAGTAACTTTAATTGCCCCTCACATCTTTCCAATCAGTGCAATATATGCTAACACATATTACACAGGTTTAAGTCAGTGGGTAACCTATAGCACTGTAATTTTTATATTAGCTATCACTGTCTTTACTATTGCTGTAGTTATTGTTACTGTTTTCAAAATAATAGCTATGTAGCATCTCACACAGATGTCATATTGGAAAGTAGTTTGGCCATATGAGGCTAAGTGTACAATCTGTAGCTAATGTTCATTTGAAATATTCCCAAGTTTTTGCTTTTTGTTAATGTTATCAATTAGCAAGGTGTGATTTTATTTGTAAAATATGTTTGATGTTGAATGTGAGGAAAACAGGTTAGGCTACTGTGAAAGTGTACATATAGGTGAAATGAATTTACTCTTAATTTGACTTAGATGTATTAGACAGAAAGTATTTTTATGGTATTTCTTTGATAGTTTTAAGATGCACTGTGGTTTTGGAAAAGTAACCAAACACTTTGGACATTATGGGTGTCTGGGACTCTTAGAAGAAAACTTAGGATACTTACAACATTCAGTGAGGGACAGCGAAGATCCCTTTTTTTTTGTATATCCTAGAGTAAACGTATATAGATAGAGGCACTTTATCTACATATAAGACATTATTATAGATTCCAAAGAAATATCACCAGGACAGGTGAATCTTGAAGTTGGTCACCCTAGTATGGCTGGATATTTTGTTGCTGTAAGGGAAGGGAAAACATTCCCAATGAAGAAAATAACCCCCATTACTTTTGGATGGAAAATGACTCCTATTGATTTTGGATGGAAAATGACCTCTTTTGCTCTTGGATGGAAAATGACCTCTATTGCTTTTGGATGGAAAATGACTCCTATTGATTTTGGATGGAAAATGACCCCCATTGCTTTTGGATGGAAAATGACCCCCATTGCTTTTGGATGGAAAATGACCCCCATTGCTTTTGGATGGAAAATGACCCATATTGCTCTTGGATGGAAAAGGACCCCTATTGCTTTTGGATATTCAAGTATCGTTCAAATTTCAAAGCAAGAATATCAAATAAAGTTTATAATACTGTGAGGTTTTAACATTGGTATTATGTACCTGGCTAAAGATTTCCAGTAGTCTATTAGAAAAATGTATTGTACATTCATGGTCTGAAAAGGTGGATGGATGTCTTGTTTGCAAGTATAATCAGAGGTAGCCTCTACGATGATAATGGTAAATTCTATTTAATTTTGATGTCCATCTTTCCCTAAGATGAATCTTCATATGCTTTCTTTGCATGAAGTACCCAAAGTTCTGTCAAAATTTTCCTAGCAACTATAATTACCTCAAAGAAATTGTTTTCTTCCAGAATATTCTGTGTATATTTTTTGGGCAAACATTATTTTGTAGTATGGCTATATATTCAGCATTTATATACAAAACATGCATTTGCGGATATGACATTACAAATGCATTAAATGGATGCATAACATTAAGACACTGAAAAAAAAGAAAAAAAAAGAAAGTAAGAAAATAAACCACACACACACACACACACACACACACACACACACACACACACACACACACACACACACACACAACACACACACACACACACACACACAGAGTCTAACCCATTGTTTTCACCAATGTTATATGCCTTATAATGGTATCTAATTTGCATTTCTAACAGGTATTGCTTTCTTTTTCCAGTTGGTACTTTGGTAAAATCAAGAGAATAGAAGCAGAGAAGAAATTACTTTTACCGGAGAATGAACACGGCGCCTTCTTAATACGAGATTCAGAAAGCAGAAGAAACGATTACTCTTTATCAGGTTGGTGTCTTGCAAGGGGATTAGTGCAGTGGGTGTAAGAGTATGATTTTGTGTGTGTGTGTGTGTGTGTGTGTGTGTAGCTGCATACATGTCTGCCTGCAAGTATGTGTACTGAATCTGTCTGTATTTCTTTAATATGAAGATATAT